GAGGTCTTGTTGCCCAGGCAAGGTCTCGAACCCGCGGGCTCAGGCAATCCACTCACCTCAGCCTCCCAAAGGCGTGGGATTACAGGCTGAGCCACCGAGCCTGGTGGGGAATCTACTTTTAAAGTGAGTCCCAACTCTCCTAACCTTGGGTAAATCTGGTTAGCCTTTTGGCACCTCAATTTATTCATCTGTAAAATGGGTATGAGAACACTTCCTGCTTTATTGGCTTTGAATGTATGTAGTGCTTAGATGACTGACAAGCCAGCGTGAGAGCAAAGTGTCACACGTAGTAGAGTCACTCAGACCTGAGTTCAAGTCCCCTGGGCAATTTTCCCCAAGTTGGAGATTTGGGGAAAATTACCCAAGGTCTTTCTACTTGTTTCCTCATTAGTGAAACCAAGTGTAGCAATACCACTTGCCTTAAATGGTGGTCTTCAGGGGTGATGAGATAATACCTGTAAATGGTAGAACCAGAACTCCAAAGCCCACAGGCTTAATCACTACACTCCAGTTGTCTCAAAGCCATAATGTATATAAAACAACAACATACAGTATAGAGAAATGACTTGAAAGAAATACAACAAATTGTTAACAGTGCTTATTTCTAGATGGTTGGATTATGATTTATTTTCATTTTCTTTATATTTTTCTGTATTTTCCAAATTACTTTTATAATCAGAAAAAAAACTGTATTTGATGATCAGATGCCTTGGGATCGTTTGTGATGGTCTCCACTTTGCCAAAATCTTTGACATATTTTCTCATGTAATCTTCTCAGCAACCATTTGAGGTATGGATCATTATTCCCTGCTGGGTGCAGTAGCTCACGCCTGTAATCCCAGCACTTTGGGAGGCGGAGGCAAGAGGATTGCCTGAGCCCAGGGGTTTGAGACCAGTCCGGGCAACATGGTGAGACCTCGTCTCTACAATAAATAAAAAAATTAGCCAGGCATGGTGGCATGCGCCTACAGTTCCAGCTACTTGGAAGGTTGAGGCAGAAGGATTACCTGAGCCCAGTAGGTCGATGCTGCAGTGGCTGTGAGTGTACCACTGCACTCTAGCCTGGACAACAGAGTGAAACTCCAACTTAAAAAGAAAAAAAAATCATTCCCTTTTTCCAGATGAGGAAATGAGGCTGAGGGAGGTTAGAGAGCTGGCATAAACTTCAGATCCCATAGCTACTAAATGGCAGAGAGCCAAGATTTGCAGGCAGATCTGGCTGTCTCCAAAGCTAGGTGTTATCAGCAGGGATGCTGGACCATGGGCTCAGTGCCAAGTACTCCCCCATCCCAGGCTGCTGACAGAAGAGTAGAGAGGGAGGCTGTCAGAACTGGGCCTGTGTTGGATGCTCCCGTGCGTCTCAGGGTCTACTGGGTTCCTACAGCCATATTCCTGGTGGAGAGATGGCCCGGAAAGTGGAAAGTCAAGGAGTCCTGTGGAGGCTTCTTAGGAAGAGATACATGCTTCCATTATAAGACACCCAATAGAGGAACTAAAAATAATAGCATAACTACATAAGATTGAGGGAGGGAAGTGGGTGTGAGCCAGCTAAATCATTAGCTATCACAGCAGGAAGGCAATAAATAGTGGCTAGTCCTGATAAATCCAGATATAGCTATGTAATTATATAGCTATAGGGCATTGACCACTAGGCCTGAAAACACAAATGGCTTCAAGTGGTGTTCCCGGACTGAGGGGTGAAGAGGGAGTTTTGCTTTTCATCATAAGCCCTTTGGTCCTATTTTATTTTATTTATTTTAGCTATGTGCATTACGTTTTACTCCAAAATTATTAATATTAAAGTACAGGCTCTGAAAGTTAAATAATAACAAAGTACAGGCCACCTGTGTGGATTCAAATCTCACCCCTGCCCGTTATGGGTCTTGGACAGATTCATTTAAGTTGCAATCTTATCTTCTGGAAAATAGGAATAAAAACCATACGCTTGTAATCCCAGTACTTTGGGAGGTCAAGGTGAAGGGATTGCCTGAGCTCACGGGTTCAAGAACAGCCTGGGCAACTTGACAAGACCTCATCTCGACAATAAAAATCAAAAAATTAGTCGGGCGTGATAGCCCGCGCCTGTAGTTCCGGGCTACTTGAAATGCTGAGGCAGAAGGATCGCCGGAGCCCAGCAGGTCAACGCTGAGGTGGCCGTGAGCGTGCTACTGCACTTCAGCCTGGGCACGAGGATGAGACTCCAACTGAAACAAAACAAAACTAAACAAAACAACCATACTCCACAGAGTTGCTCTGAAGATAAAATGAGGTAATGCATATACAGCACATGGGCCAGCGTTGGTCGAAATTCAGCATCTACAATGATTAGCTATTGTTATCTTTAATAATAAAGCAAACGTGCTGCTCATACACAGTGCTCGGCACACAGTAGGCACTTAATGGGAGGACATAATTATTTAACACCACCCCCTCCACCAGAATCTGTAATTTCTTCCAACCCGTGACGCCTGGGCCCCAGTGCTCGGAGCGAACACTTCAATATTAATGTGGTTACTCATTTATTCATCACTCGGATGTCGGTCGCAGTGTCCTCGGAGGATGAGCCCCGCTCCCTGGCCTCCCGCCCCGCGGCCTCGCCGCGTCCTGGCCCCCTCTTGCGCCAGGAGATTGGAGGTGGCAACGGTTCACTTGCTTCCAGATCGTTGATGCGGGGCCATCACGTGGCGGGGCGGGAATCGCTCCGGTGTCTCTCCGGCATTTTCTAGGCCAGGGGCGGGTCGGAGGAGGGTCCGCATCAGCCCCGCAAGAGCGCGCCAAGGGAACGGCCGTCCGAGGCGGCGGGACCCTTCTAGGGCGAGGGCTTTTTGGAGAGGGGAAACCTTGAGAGAAGGTTTGTGATTGGCTGGAGCGGGTAGAACCGGCGTCCCACACCCGGCGGAGGGTGTCTCGCGCCTGGGGCTACACCCGGTGCCCCCGTCAGGGGCGTGGCCACCGCGGGAGCCCCGCCCAGCCCTCTGCAGAGGCCGCGCCCCCTCGCGCTCCAAG